TCGAGTTGATCTTGAACTTGCCGTCCTTATTTCCGTCCGCGATTTCATACTCCAGATTAGCCTTGCCATCGAAGTCCAGGTCGGTTGCATTGAGCTGCACAACAGCCACGCCACTGAAGAAAAAAGGTTTACATAGAAATGCTACATCCATTTATGATATGCTGGCTTACACGGGATTGAATCATTCCAAATAGCATGATGGAACACTATAAAAACAGATAATCTCTTTCTTTAAATATATCAATCCATTATAATTAACTTCTAAATTCCTCTTCAAGTAAAAGCTATTCAGACACACAACCTTCCCAATCTCCTTTCAAAATAAAAGAGAAAATAACAAACTTACACATTGGTGGGTATGAGTAAGGACGCATTGTACTCCTGCAGCAGAAACCGAGGGGGTACATCGTTAATGTCAGTGATGGTGATCGTGACTGTGGCAGTGGTTGAAGCACATAGTCTCGGGTGGCCGTTGTCGTGGACCTTAACACTGAAGGTCACCTTGGACACCACCTCGTGATCCAGAGGTCCGACAGTCCTTATAGCACCTGGGAAAAAAAGGAATTCGTGATTATTAAAAGAAAAATCAGTACTATTAAGCTTCTTTTTTATGTATCCTCATTTTTTATTATCTTTTTATTATTTATCATCTTTTGCCCCAAGATATTTATCAAGGAGATAACAGAAAGAATAAACATATTTCTTCCACACGAATCCCATAACAGACTCACTCTCTCTCTCACTCACTCACTCTCTCTCTCTCTCTCTCTCGTTCCCCTACCAGTTGAGGAGTCGATGGCGAAGTACTTCCTCGCCTCCTCCTCCAAGATGGTGAACACCAGGTTGGCATTCTGGTCCGAGTCCTTGTCCTTGGCAGAGATGACCAGGGGCGTGTTATCCTCCATCAGGACGACTGAGTTGACTGCGGCAGCCTCGGAAATGTGGCCCACGTAGCTGCTCTGGGTGAAGTAGGGTGGGTTGTCGTTCTCGTCTAAGATGTTGATCACCAGGTGAGCTGTCGACTCCTGTCCGTTCTGTTGTAAGGGAAAAAATGAGTGATCTTTTTAATATATTGAATAATCTGAAACAGACTATCCCCCAAAAAATCAGATTGTACTCTACGATCAAATAAGCATTTCAATTCACACCAAAAAACGTATTTCATTAATTCTGAACACTATAAACGACAAGCAAATCCATAATCTCTTTCTTGAAATATGATCTCAAACCATTACAATCATCTTCTAAATCCTCTTCCTGTAAATGCCTTTCAGACACACAATCTTCCCAATCTCCTTTCAAAATAAGAGAAAATTTCCTCTCCCTCTCAGCAAAAAGACACCTCCTCTTCTCCCAAACACACCAAAGACCCAGACAACCCAGACCCCAGACCCCGAAGTCCTTACCATCGACGACGCAAACACCGTGTAGTTGTAGGACTGGCTCTTCTCGTAGTCCACAGGGGCGTCGAGGGACACGGTTCCTGTAGAAGGGTTGATGGCGAAGGGAATCCTCCTGGAGTCCACGTTGAGAGAGAACACGACACCGAGGCGGCTCTCCACCTCCACGATCCCCAGGTAGTCCCCGACGTGGGCCTTCTCGCTCACCTCGAACACGTACTCCTTCTTCAGGAACCTAGATAGGGGGGATGCAGTTCGTGAGGATAGTATGAGGATTTTTTTTCCGATGGGAGGCCGAGCGCTGGGACAATTTTTTTTAAAATTGGGTGACTAATAATAATGTATCTAAATTTTCGGGAATACCATCATATCTATAAAGTTATGATATGACGCTAGATACGTATATGTATCTATGCCGCATACACTACATTATTACAACACATCCACTTCTATGGCATTAATATCCTCAATCTACCCATTCAGACATTAAAATCCACAATTACCCATCCACATTAAAATCCACTCAATCAATCCACAATCTACCCATTCATACACCATTAAAATCCACTCACTTCTATGATAATAAAATCCACAATCTACCCATCCATACAACATAAAAACCCACCCCCTTCTATAACATCACAATCATTGAGCATTTACAACAAACAAACAAACAAATACCCACCTCGGAGGAGCCCCATGAGCGATCTTGACATGGATGTTGACATTGACGTGCGAGTGCTTGGGGGGCGATCCGTTGTCACTGCCCCGCACGGCCAGCCAGTACTCGGGCATCACCTGTCTGTCCACTTGGCGCACCAGGGAGATGATGCCCGTCGAGGGATGGAGGCTGAACACGCCCCCGATGTTACCTGGAAGGGGACAGGAAGGGTCACGTCATGTGTGGTGATTATGTGGTTGAAAAGGAGGGGTTGTAGAGATTAAGATTGATAAGGAAGTCCTTTTCTGAGGTCTGTATATTCGATAGATTTTGAAGTCCTTTTCTGATACATGTATTTTCGATAGATTTGAGTTAAAGGGTGAATAATTCCCTAATATTGATGAGGAAACCCTTTTCTGAGACTTTTTGTATTACCTATTTCAACTAAAGGGTAAATATCCCCCTCACGACCCTTTGACCCCTTACCCCTAAACGACCCCATCAAGACCCCTCTCACGACCCCCTTACCTGAGATAATCGAATACGTAATATCCCCGTTGACGCCCTTGTCCCTGTCGACGGCCACCACCTCCGTGACGGCCGTGCCCACCGCCGCCGTCTCCGTGACCGTGCCGTTGTAGAGGGTGGCGAGGAACTGCGGCGCGTGGTCGTTGTAGTCCCTGACGCGGATGATGAGGCGCGCGTAGTCACTCTTGATGGGAATGATGCGGTCCTTCACGCACACCGTCAGGATGTGGACCTCCTGCACCTCCCTGGAGAGAATGGACGGAGAGGGTTAGAAAGGGGGGTTGGAGGATAATGGATGAAGAGGGGATGAAGAGGATGAGAGAAGGATGTCGGGGGATGGATGAAGAGGGGATGAAGGGGATGAGGGAGGAAGGGGCGTGGAGATGGATGGAGAGGGGATGAAGAGGGTTAGGAAGGGGCGTTGGAGGATGGATGAAGAGGGGATGATGAGGGTGAGAAAGGGGCATTGAAGAGTAGATTAAGAAGATGAGAAAGGGGCGTTGGGAGATGGTTGAAGAGGGCGAGGAAAGGAGCGCTGGAGGATGGATGGAGAGGGGATGGAGAGGGCGAGAAAGGGGCGTTGCAGGATAATAGATAAAGAGGGGATGAAGAGATTAAGAAAGGGGCGTTGAAGAGTAGATGAAAAGGATGAGAAACGGCCGTTGGAGGATGGATGACAAAATTGAATATGGCGAGGAAAGAAGTCGAGGTGGTGAAGGATAAACAAAAAAGATGATAATGATCGGCGAATAGTAAAACGTACCAACTGTGTTCTTGCTACTCTCTCTCTCTCTTTCTCGCTCACACACACACACACACACAACAACTTTCAGCCTCACTCAAGTATGCTTCCATTCTCTCATTCTCCCTTTCTCTCTCCCTCTCTCCTCAGCCTCTCTTAACATACACATCCCCTCACATTCGCCTACGTCCCTCCCTCTCCTTCCTTCCCTCCCTCTCTCTTCCTCACCTGTCCATGCGTCCTTCCTCCCTCCTCCACTCCCTCCCTCTCCCCCCTTCCCTCCTTCCCCCTCCCTTCCTTCCCTCCCTTCCCTCCCCTCTCCCCTCCCTTTCATATCCTCACCTATCCAGCGGCTCATACAGAACGACGTCCCCGCTCTCCGGGCTGACCATGAACTTGGAGGCGGAGGCGACGTGGGCGGTGTTGACGAGCGTGAAGGTCAGGTGCTTGTCGGAGTCCGGGTCGGAGGCGGTGAGGGTGGCGATGGTGGTGCCCGGGGAGGTGTTCTCGCCCACCTCCACCTCGTACGTGGGCTCCGAGAACGCCGGCCGGTTGTCGTTCACGTCCAGCACGGAGACGATCACCTGTGGGGGGAGGATGCGATGTAGGAGTCGAAAAAATAGGAAAAATAATAGTGATAATAGTGATGAGAACACGGATACGATCACCTGTTGGGAGGATATGATGTAGGAGTCCAAAAAAGAAAAAAAAAACTAACAATAGTGATAATGATAATAATGACAATAATAACAATATGGATATATATTGATAATGTAAGAGTAAAAAAAGTAACAATATTGATAATATTAATAATGAATTGATACTTTTATACAAAAGAAAGAAAAGAAACTACTAATACCAATAACAATAACAAAAACCCAAGAAAAAACATGAAGACAAACACAGGTAAATCCCTCAAACAAGGTCAGCTGAACCCACCTGGCTGGTGACCGTGTAGACCCCGTCCGTGACCCCGATGGTGAGGTTGTAGAGGGACTTCTTCTCGGCGTCCAACTTGCCTGCCAACATGATGCTCCCCGTGTCCCTCCCGATGGCGAACTTGTACTCCTCGTCGCCAGCGGGGTGGAGGAGGGAGGGAGGGAGGGGGAGGGGGAGAGGAGGAGGGGGATAGGAGGGGGGATAGGAGGAAGGGAGGGAGACAGGGGGGGCGGAAGGGAGGGGGATAGGAGGGGGATAGGAGGGGACAGGAGGGAGGAGGGAGACAGGAGGGAGCCAGGAAGGGAGGGAGACAGGAGGGGGACGGAAGGGGACAAGAAGGGGGCAGGAGGGAGACAGAAAGGGGGCGAGGAGAGGGGTAAGGGGTTAGAAAAGTGAGTTACAGACACTATATGCATACGTACAACGCGGTGTGGATATCAAATTACTTTAATACATCTTAGTGTCTAAATTATGTTAATATACAAAAACGAATGAAATCTCAAATAAATATATCCACAAAAAATATCACCAAAACCGAAAAATGTAGAATATAAATTAAAAACAAAAACAAAAACAGAAAGAAATGCACTACGAAGCTGAAGAACAGAAGAAGGAAGAAGCAGAAGAAAAAAAGTTGATGACGAAGACCAATAATAATAAGTACAAAAAGAAGAACCCGAAATATACGAAGGAAAAAAGAAAGATAAAGGAGAATAAAAGAATAAAAGACAGAAAAAGAAAAATAAAAAAACAAAAGAAAAAAAGAAAAAAAAGACCAAAGAAAAAAAAAGAAAAGAAAAATAAAAGCCAAAAGAAAAAAAAAGAAAAAGACTAATAAGAAGAGAAAAAAAAAAAACGAAAAAAATAGAGAGAAAAAAAAATTCAGAAAGACCCCATCCCTCACCTATGATATCGAACCACACGCGGTCGCCGTCTTCGTCTCGCGCGCTGATGAGGGTCACGTGCTGGCCCACGGGGTCACTCTCCAGCACCGTGACCCTCGCCTCGGCCTCCTCCAGGATCGCCGGCGGGGTCTTCGAGTCCTCGGGCACGGGCACGACGTCGATGACCACCAGGCAGGAGCTGGCGTTTCGAGGGCGACCGTTGTCTATCGCTTGGACCTGGTTGGAGGACGAGGAGGGATAATAACAATAACAATAATAATAATAATAATAATAATGATAATAATAATAATAATAATAATAATAATAATGATAATGATAATAGGAATCGTGATCCTGGTTCAATACACGCACGAAATAAAACCAAAAAATACAAAACGAATTCCTAAAAAAAAAAAAAAAAAAAAAATCCCAAGATCAATACCTAAACCACAAAATAACCCACGAAAAAAAAAACAAATCAAAAACTAAACCACAAGACCAAACCGAAAAATCCACGACGGAAAATAAATCAAGTCTTCACCAGGTCCAAGGAACTCACCGTGAACTCGTAGTCCTCCTCGGGGTTGAGTCCGGACTTGGCTGAGATGATGCCCGTCTTGGGGTGGATCTTGAACGTCCCGAGCCACTGGTCGCCCTCGATGCTGTAGCTGATGTCGCCGTTGTCGTCCTCGTCCTCGTCGACGGCCACGACCTGCAGGTACGACCACCAGAGGGGTGCCGGATGTGAGTGCCACTCTCTCTTCCTCATTCTCTCTCTCTCTCTCTTTCTCTATCTAATCTCTCTCTCTCTTTCTGCCGCTCGTTATTTTTGTTGTTGCTTCTACTCGCGCAGAAAAATTATTCTGAATGAACTTTATGGAATGAAACGAGCCAAAAAAAGGAAAAAAAAAAAAAATGCTGCATTCTCCGTGTTGCGAAGACCAACAGGTTCGGTTCGGAACGTCTTGGTCTCGGGGTGCTTCCAAGGGGACAACCTCGGCACTCATGTGAATCAATTTTGATTAAAAAAAAGACGAAAGAAATATATAAAATGGAGATCCGTCTTGTGAATCATCCGTTTGGGGTTAAGAAAAGATATGATCTAGTCCAAATTCTCAGCAGGCAAGAGATGATCGCATGGTGTGAACGCAACATCTGACAAAAAAGCAAGGAAGATACACATAAAAAAAAATATCAAGCTACAAATTCTAAAATTCTAATAAAAATCTAAACTCTAAATCAACGTACAGATAAGCAGTCTACTTTTCCCCAGCTTTCCCCCATGGAAACAGAATACACACAGATACACAGAATAAAAGGGGATAACCTCTACTATTTACACTAGGGGCACTAGAGAGAAAGAGAAGAAAAGACCAAAAAAAGAAGAAAATAACAAAGATGGAAGCAGAAATGTCAACCCACCCGTGAGATAAAATAAAAAAAAGGAGGAGATGAAGCCTCTACGCTACCTACAACGGAAACCTTCCCTGGTGGATCCTCCTTACCCTACAGATAGGCACAAACTCCCGCTCCACCTCCTCCTCCACCATCTGCTGGTCCTCCAAAGTCTCCACATGGGGAATGGGAGTCCAGAGGCCCCTCAAGGAGTAAGGCATCGCTCCGGATCCCTCCTCGTCTTCTTCCTCCTCCTCCTCCTTTTCTCTCTCCCTCACCCTTCCGCCCACAGACGCCCACACCCTCGCATTGTCGTAGGGGAGGAAGTAGTCCGCGTCCAGCGAGGAGGCGTTCTACACGACGATGGGGCGGGGGGAGGGCAGGGGGCAGGGGGGGGGGTTAGAGGAGCAAGTTAGCGTAAATTAGTCGGCTAAAGTATGGGTTAAGAAGCGGGTGTAAAACAGAGGACCATAAACGGTGTTGTTGTTGAGTTTGCGCATGACAGCCGAAGGCCAAGAAGCGCACGTGACAGTTTCTTTCCTTTCCAGGGATATTTTTAGCTGTCATGTGGCTACATTGGACTCGTCTGGTCATACACAAATGCTAAGTGACAAGAGAATGAATCATTACAATATAGACAGAGGGCTGCTTGCTACTACAATTAATATTAGTGTTCTATAATTACATTCTATATATATAAAAAGTTAAATACATCAATGAAATTATCTTAATACATTGAAAATATTAATAGCTTCATGAGAAAAGAAAAAAAAAATAGAATATAAAAAAATATAGAAAAGTGCATAAAATATCAGTTTATATTCATGTATTTTAAGGTTATCATCAACTCGACGAATTTAAAAGTCTAACAAAGTGCACATATTAAAAAGAAAATCGTTCTCTTCAAAATGCAAACATCCAACTGGTTTATCGTCACAACAAGATCAACATTGTAACTTCTCATTCTCTTCTAGCCTCGCACAGGGGTATCATTATTTACATCATTCTCAGACACGTCGCAGACATGTTTCAGACACGTTTCAGACTCGAATGCGACCACGTGAGCCGCCCGTGCATGCTCATCCGCCTTGCTGTCGAGTGCCCATGACAGGGAAGGAGGCAAGGAGGCGCCCATGAAGACAGCTGGGAGGTGGGGGGGAGGGGTGGGATGAGGGGGAAGGAGGGAGGGGGTGGGATGAGGGGGAAGGAGGGAGGGGTGGGATGAGGGGAGGAGGGAGGATGGGATGGGGGGGAAGGAGGGAAGGGAGAGGGATGAGGGGGGGAAGGGAAGGAGAAGGATGAGGTGGAGGTGGGTGGAGGTGGGTGAGGGAGGAAGGGAGGGAGGTGGAGGTGGGAGGGAGGGGAGGAAGGAGGGGGGAGGGGGGTAGACTGAAGTGGAGGGGGTGGGTTGAGATAGGAGGAGGGAGGGAGGGTAGAGAGAGGGTTAAGGTGGGAGGTGGGAAGGAGAGGAGAAGTGAGAAGGTGGGATGGAGGAAGGGGAAGTGGGAGTGGAGGGAGGATGGGGCTAAAAGGTGGGAAGAAGGGGAGGAAATAAAAGTGAAAGCAGAAGAAAAAGAAATAAAGCGGAGTCTTTGGTGAGAGAAGAAACTGGAGAAGGAAGGAAAAAGAAAGGTGAGAGGAGAAGAAGGTAGAAAAGGGAGAAAAAACATGAAAGAAAACGAGGAAGCTTTCGAAGGAAGAAAGAAGAAAGCAAGAAGAAAAGGAGAAGCCAAAAAAAAAAAAAAAAAAAGGAAAAAGAAACACGAATCAGAAAAAGAAAAAAAATAAAAGGAAACAGGAAGTGGAGTAAGAGTAAGAAGAGGAAGAAAAAGAAGAAGAAACCAGAAATTGCAGTCTCATCCCGCCACCCTTTCAAAAAAAAAAAAAAAACCTTCCTCTAATATCACTGTTTTGTACAACGACCAATCTCAATGAAAGGACACTCTGGCCAGGCACCTTCTACACCCTCCATTTCCCTAATGCAACTTTTATGTAATGTATGACCTCTCCTTTATGTTCCCCTTTGTAGCTCGGAGCCACTAATGGAGAAAAATAAATCCGGGTGAAACAGCACACAATGCGAAACGGGGGAAGTGGAAGAAGGGGAAGGAGAGGGAGGTGGAGAAAAGGTAGGATAGAGGGACGAAGGAGTGGGGAAGGAAGAAGTGGGAGAGAGAGAGAAAGGGATAAAGGGTGTGGAGTGATTAGGGAGGGGGGGAGGGAGAGGGATTTGAAGAAATAGAAGAGAGAGAAAAAATAAGGGAAAAGGGTGTAAAAAGAGAGGGAGAGAGTAAGGTTAGGGGGGTAGGGAGAGGGAGGGAAAGGGTAATTAAAAAATATATATTTTTTTCCCCTCTCAAGTTTCGCCTTCAGAGTCTGAAACGTATCTGTATGAGAATACACAAGGACAACCTGCCTTTTTTTAAATCAGAAACAGTGATGGCATTTTAAAAAATTATATAGGCACGTGTTCCGTCACTTGAACACGTGGTTCATGCTAAGCTCCGCCATCTTGTTTCACAGTTGATTAGATTTAGTTTTAACATTACAAAAACAAATACAAGCAAGGAAAACAAACAAAAACAAAACAATGGCAGACTGTATGTCATACGTACACACCTGACATAGGTAAACAAAATACAAATAGCATTAAAATTTACGAGCGACCCACACAAGTCTGTCACTCCAGACCTAATCCTTCTACTGCAAGACAAGAATTACAACCAATTGGTATTTAAATTACACCAACATCACCCTTTAATCCGATCGATACCCAGATACCCAAATCCTCCCCGAATGAGTTTCAATCAACGCTCAAAAATTACAATAAGTTTGGAACACATTACAATAGTTGGAACTACTTTTCAAGGCGGAATGTTAGTGGAAAGTTAAGAGGGTTTTCTGTACACAATACACAAACAAATTTGGTTAAATCTACGACAATTTGCGGGTACAATGTTATCGGATTTCCATTTCTCGTTCCATTTGTTATTAATGTTTATGTTTATTTGTTATTTCAACATTCCCGACAACAGACCAGGCTAGTGAAATGGTGTTAGTGTTAGACAAAGAGCGCTGTGACGGCGCATTTATACTTTGTTTATATTATGTGATTATCAGGCAAGGTGAGAATGAGGAGGATGGTGATGATGATGATAAAAAAATGAGGAGGAGGAAAAGGAGGAAGTATTTTCTTTTCTCGATGACATGAAACGGAGGAAGTGAGAATTTCTCCGAAAAAGAAGGAGAATAAGTAGGAAGGAAGAAAAAACGGAAGAAGGGAGAAAAAGGGTGGAAGTAAGAATTTCTCCGAAAAGAAGAAGAAAAGGAAGAGAAAAAGAAGGAAGTAAAAGGAAAGAAAAGAAGAAAATGAAGAACATGAAGGAAAAAGGACGAAAGGGAAGAAAAAGAAGGAAGTAAAAGGAAGGAAAGGAAGAAAATGAAGAACATGAAGAAAAAGACGAAAAGGAAGATAAGAATAAGAAAAGGAAGGAAAACTGAGGAAAAGAAAGAAAAAAGAAACAAAGGAAGAAAAGAAAATAACTAGAAGAATAAGAAAAGAAAAGAAAAGAAAACGATGACAAAAATGCCCATGACGCGAATGAAATCTCCCCTCCCGACCCCCCCTCGCCATGACAACCCCAAACACCACCGACTCCACCCACGCCCCTCCGACTTACCCTTCCCACGGGCATATCCTCGACGTACTCCTCCTTCTGCGTGGGCGGCCGCGGCAGGATGGGCACCGAGAACTTGTAGAGGCTCTCGAGGAAGGCCGGGGCGTGGTCGTTCTCGTCCAGGACGTTGACGGCGACGTAGGCCACTGACGCGAGGGACGTGGCGGGGTCCTCGCCGTCGCGGATCGTCACCTCCAGCATGTGCTCGGCGTGTTGCTCGCGGTCCAGCTGGCGCCCCGTCGTCCGGATCTCGCCTGGGGGGGAAGGGGGGGAAGGGGGGTTGTGAGAAAGGGTTTCAGTGTTTTCTAAAAAAAAATCTGAAAATCTATGTGTGTATGAGGTTATTTTTTTAAAGGTTTTCGTTGGCTGTGTCAAAAAAGAAGAATAAAAAATATAAACACATATATATCAATAAACAAATAAATAAAATAAAGGAGAAAATACACACACAATAAGTAAATAAATAAATAAATATGTAAATAAATTAAAAAATAAATAAACAAATATATATAAATATCTATCTATCTATATATATATATTACGTGTAAGGAGACGTATGTGCGTACATATGTATGTATGCAAATGGCATTCATAAATATAATGTTCCCGGTAAACACACCTTAAAAAAAACAATAACATTCTTATCCATAAACATAATCGGTTTTTGACAAGATGAAGGTAAAAAAAAAAAGCAAAAGTTTTCCAAAATCGTTTTTCCGTTTTAGAAAGTGGTCGCTGTAGGCCGGAAGACACGTAAACATCCTCATCTTCTGTGTCTACTTTGAGGAAGTTAAGAAGGAGGGAGGAATAAACAGATCGTAAAAAGGAGAAAGTAGAAGAAGAAGAAGAAGAAGAGAAGAAGAGGAGGAGGAGAGAAGAAGGAGAAGAAGAAGAAGAAGAAGAAGAAGAAGAAGAAGAAGAAGAAGAAGAAGAAGAAGAAGAAGAAGAAGGAGAAGAAGAAGAAGAAGAAAAAGGAGAAGAAGAATTTTTCCTCACTTAATCCTTCTTCTTTCTTCTGTTTACAGTTCGTAAACAGAAGAAGGGGTTCAGAGAGAAAGAACAAAAAACAAGAGAGGGAACAACAATAACGGAGAGGAAAAGACAGAGAAAAGATGAAAGGAAGGAAGGACGGAAAGAAGCACAAGGAGAAGAAGGGAACATGAGAGAATGAGGGGATGATTAACAGCAAAAAGGGAAGACGAGGAAAACGAAGAAGAGGAAGAGGAGGAGGAGTTGGAAGAGGAGGAGGAAGAGAGAACAGAAGAATGAGAATGAGAAGGATAAGAAGGAGGAGGAGAAGAAGAAGACGAAGAAGAACAAGGAGAAGGAGAAGAAGTTGAAGGTAAAGGAGAAGGAGGAGAAGAAGAAGACGAAGAAGGAGAAGAAGAACCATGAAAATGAGGAGGCGGAGGATGATAAGGTGAAAGAGAAGGAGAAGAACAAAGAGAAAGAAAAACGAAGAAAAGGAGAAGAAGAACGAAGAACGAACAGAAGGATAAGAAGACCGAAGAATACAAGAAGGAGGAGGAAGGAGAGTGAGAATTAGAAGGAGGAGGAAGAAGGAGGAGGAAGGAGGAGGAGAAGGAGGAGGAGGAAGGGGAGAGGAGGAGAGGAGAAGGAGGAGGAAGGAGGAGGAGGAGCGAGGGCAAGGGCCGCATGCAGGGCTTTGAGACTAATTAATCCGAGCGGAATGCTCATCTTCACTCTAAATGTAATGAAGCTGCTGCGCCATCCCGGGAGCCTCCGCGCGGACCAGACTCGAGGGAGAGAGGGAGAGGAGGAGGGAGGGAGGGGGGAGGGAGGGAGGGAGGGAGGGAGGAGGGAGGGGGAAGGAGGGAGGGAGAGGGGGAAAGGAGGGAGGGAGGGAGGAGAGAGGAAGGAGAGGTAGAGGGAGGTGGGTGGTAGGGAGGAGGGAGGGAGGGAGGGAAGGGAGGGAGGGAGAGAGAGGGAAGGAGGGAGAGGAGGGAGGGAGGGAGGTGGAAGGGAGAGAGGGAGGAGTGAGAGAGGGAGGAGGGAGGGAGGGAAGGAGGGGGAAGAGGGAGGGAGCTGCTGCGCCACCCGGGTGGCGCGGACCAGACTCGAGGGAACAGGAGGGAAGGAGGGAGAGGGAGGGAGGGAGGGGGAAATGGGGAGGGGAGGAGGGAGAGGGGAAGGAGGAGAGAGGAGAGGGAGGGAGGGGGAGGAAGGGAAGGAAGAGGGAGGGAGGAAGAGATGGGAGGAGGGGAGGAGGGAGGGAGAGAGAGGGAGGGAAGGAGGGACGAAAGGGAGGGGGAAGGAGGGAGGAAAGAGGGGAAGGAGAGGGAAGGAGGAGGAGAGGTGAAGAGGGGGGGAGAGGGAGGGAGGGAGGGAGGGAGGGAGGGAGGAGGAGAGAGAGAGAGGGAGAGAGAGAGAGAGAGAGAGAGAGAGAGAGAGAGAGAGAGAAGAGAGAGAGAGAGAGAGAGAGAGAGAGAGAGAGAGAGAGAGAGAGAGAGAGAGAGAGAGAGGAGAGAGAGAGAGAGAGAGAGAGAGAGAGAGAGAGAGAGAGAGAGAGAGAGAGAGAGAGAGAGAGAGAGAGAGAGAGAGAGAGAGAGAGAGAGAGAGAGAGAGAGAGAGGAGAGAGAGAGAAAGAAAAGAAATACAGAGAGAGAGAGAGAAAGAAAGAGAAAGAAGAGAAGAGAGAGAGAGAGAGAGAGAGAAAGAGCAAGAAAGAAAAGAATACAGAGGGAGACAAAAAAGAAAAGAAAAAGAAAAAAAAAGAAAAAAATACGAAAAAAAAAAAAGTTGAGAAAAAAAAGTCAGAGAGAGAGAGAGGGAGGGAAAGAGAGAGAGCAGAGCGGTAAAGGAGTTATTGATAAGGCAGAATTAAATTGGTCCGCGTCACACACGACTGCACATACAAGCAACGCCGGGGATCATTTCAAACTGAATCCCAGATGAGGTTCCAACAACATCGTCCCCGGGAACCTATGATCTCACTCGACTCCCATTTCCCTTCAGAAAATTGGGAAGCAAAGGGGCGTGTGATGGGACATGATCGTTAGAAAATCGAAGCCGCGATCACTGGACTAAATGTAATTATTATTTTTTTTTCTGCAACGGTTTGGGTGTATAAGAAAAAAAGTAAATATAATCATTATTTTTTTCTGCATGGTTTGGGTGTATAAGAAAAAAAAGTAAATATAATCATTCTTATTTTTTTTGCAACGATTTGGGTGTATAAGAAAAAAAATGTATATAATCATTAATGCCACGATTTGGGTGTATAAGAAAAAAAATGTATATAATCATCATTTTTTCTGCCACGATTTGGGTGTATAAGAAAAAAAAAAGTAAATATAATCACTTTTTTCTGCAACGATTTGGATGTATAAGAAAAAAAGAAAAATAAATATAATCATCACTTTTTTCTGCAACGATTTGGATGTAAATAAAATTAAAAAAAAAACATGTACAGATCGTATATTAATTAAATTATCGCATGTAATTTACATTCCTTTTTGGCGCCTTGATTGGATGACAGTTAAATGTAAATAAACCGCGCGCTGGGAATCTGAATTTGAATGGAAAATCTTAATTAGCAAGACTGGTAACACTTCTGTAATCTCAGAATCATATCGGTTCATGCATTGTGAGACGGCGCCTTTAGTGAGACGCACGCACGCACGCACGCACGCACGCACGCACGCACGAATGCATGCTCGAACACATACATGTCGGAATTGGGTTGGGGGCTCTCCTCCTCCCCCCCCCCTTCTCTTCTCCACTTCCCTCCCCCTCCACTCTCCCCTCCCTCCCCTCTCCACTTCCCTACCTCTCCCCCTTTCTCTCCCCACTTCCTACCTCCCCCCCTCCCTTTCCACTTTCCACCCCTCCCCCTCCCTTCTCCTCCCCTCCCTTCCTCCATTTCCTACCTCCTCCCCTCTCCTTTCCACTTCCCTACCTCCTCTCCCCTCTCCGTCTCTCCACTTTCCTTTATCCATTTCGGGACTTAAACTCCACTGATTGCTTCCACCTCCACTTGTCTCCACTTCCCCTTGCTCTACTCTTTATTTCAACGTCTTCTACTTCCTATTTCCTCTTTCTCCTCTCCTCCACTGCCTCTTCCTCTTTAGTTCTCACTCACCTTGCTC